CCCCAAAACCCCAAAACCCCAAAACCCCTAATGAGAGTAGAGTTATTGAATTTGCTATGCCTATATTAAAACAGTCAGTCTCCTTAAGCCAGTATAAAATCTCTGTTCTTTCATAAATCTGGAAGTGAGGTTTTGGAAGGAACAGTATAATGGGGTTTAAGAAATATGTTGAGGAATGTTCGGAAAATTAAAGCTTATACTAATAATTTCGTATCTAATCACCGTTGGCTTTGAAACAATAAGTTCTGCTCGAAGTCTAGCAGCTTTTGTCCTATCTTCGCAGGTTTATAGATGATTTTTTAAATGTTGGCTTACTTCATAATGCTCTAATATCTTCAAATGAAAACTTGATCTGCTTTTGCTCTATACCCTTTTTGAAATCACAGATGAAATGAATAATATTGAATTTATCTGGGAAATAAATTGATCAGAAACCTTGCAAAAAGGGCAGAACTTCTTCATAGTGACCCTGCGAGATATCAAGCAATATCCTAAGTATAGTGGCAGGCTTTGTAAGGATTATTGATTCCCTATCAAATTCATCTTCGAATATATGTGAAGAAGAGTGCTTTGGCTCCTCGTCAGCCTCTTCTTTTAATATCAAGGATATTGGATCGTAGTCCTCACTTGGATCTATAACAATTAAATGGTAACATTTTGTAGTTGGAAGCAAAATATAAGAGCTTACTTTTATAATAGCAAAGGTAAATACTCTTATATGGGTATGTCTCGGGATCATCTAGATTAATATTTTCTGGGATATTCCATTTTTCCATGTCTCCTTTTAAGTGGGGCATACAAAGTTTGATCATTTCATCGACAAAGTCAAGGGATTCCTTTTTAACAATATTTTTAATCATTTTAAATGCAGAATTTTCCAGACCAGTTTTGAGTTCATCAAATTTTTCTTCAATGTTAATGTAGCGGATAATATCATGGTTTTTCCTGGTTAGACTGTATGCAAGAATATCACAAAGGAAAGAAAAGTATTTTGAATCTACAATTTCCTCTGCATCTTCAGTCTGTTTAAGTAAAATACTTTTGAATAGAGAGATAGTATGAATTTTAAGAACTCTATCTATCTTTCCCCAAAATACTCCTTCTATTCCACAGAACACTTCTGTTTTCATTGTCATGGAAGCAAGAAGAGATCATATCAATGCTTTATTCCCAAAGAAGAAAAAGTCTCAAACGAATCCAAAGCATCGTATATGCCCATTCAAAGCCCCAATAAAGGAGTAAACATGAGCGAACCCTAAAAATCATTCTTATAACTTACATTTTTGAACATCATCAGCAAATTTAGCCAACTCGGGATGCCCCCAGTCCATCAACAAATCTTTCATTTCAAACACCGAAAGTTCTTGTTTCATAAATTGCATTGTCATTATAATAAATTTTTATCAGGCCCATGTCTCCACTACAAAATGTTATAAATCTGAACTTACCTGTCCTTCAAGCTAGCGTATTCTTCAGGATTTCTAAAAGGTTAGGAGGACAGTACTCGAATTCGAGGTTGTTGATGATGGTCTTTTTGGACATGTGGGCAGGACTGACGATCATGGTGAAGATTTTGGTGAGTTTTGAGAGTTTTGAATGGAAGTTGGAGGAGGTAAGAGATTTTGGAGAGAGGGAAAGGAAGGCCCCGCCGATGTCTGAGCGTAGGAGATAGGCGTACTTCTTGCATGTAGAGATTTTGATTTTGGAATTAGTCTATAGAGGTAGTAAGGAAAAATTACTTTTTGCTGGATTAAGTAGAATAAAGGCTCCATTTCTTCGATTCTGTGTGTTACTACTGCTTCGAGAAGATCCATAGAGACTGGTGAAAGTTGATATATTTGTGATATAAACTCTATCATGCTAGAGTCCCCTAGTGTCAACTGAGTCAAAGACTTCAGCCAGTCAATGCTCTCTTGGTCAAAGTTATAGTTGAAATAAAGAATTTTCATAATTCTTTCTTTGATGCTAAAAGCATTCTGGTCATATTTCTTATCAGTGTTGAACAGTGAGGAGTCTTTGAAAACTTCAAGTAGTCCGCTTTGGTCTCTTGAAAGGAAAGTGTGCAGGTCAAATGCAAGTTTGCTCTTCTTTCTGAACAATTTAGTTAAAGTCTTCTGAGATAACTCAGATTCAACATTATAAGGAATGCCTAATTCTGGGTTGAAGGGAACTCCATTTACAAGAAACATTATTAGCATCGACTGTTTTCTATTTTCTTCGAACGCATTTTCTATTGCTGGAGATATATGCTTTAACAAAGCATCTCAATTGTTATAGAAATTAGTGTAATCTCCAAGGACTAGCCCAAGTACTGCCATTATCAAGCTGTAATCATTAGAATTTGAAACAGGCCTATATAATGGGTTACTGCTTTCTAATGGGCTTAATTTGTCAATTGTTTGGGTTAGATAAAACATATTTAAATCATTAGTCTTCTTTAGTACTAAATACTTGACTAATGATAGAGACATTATTCCTTGGCATAATATTTCGAATAAGTGGGCAATCTTGCCTTGGTCTTCGTCCATATATAGAGCTGGTCATACTTGAAATTGTCCTCAGCAGTGTATTCTTCAATAAGATCTTTGATAAATCTATCAATTATATCAAGATTTTCATATTTGGTTAAGTCAGTGGTTTTCCTATTATTTTGATCAAACAATGCAGTTAGGCACAAAATAACAAGATAGATAGTACAAATTCTTTAGTTGTTCTGATCAAAGTATATATTTATCAGATAAGTTGGGCTTTTAGAGTTTATCAACACACAATATAATCTACAGAAAGAGATAGTTGTGACAAATGTATTGTGTTTAACAGTCAATCATAATGTAATCTTTCAGTATTTTTATTTTATCAATTTCAAAAGGCAACTTCTCGAGCGTGCTGAAAATTGCATCTTAAAACTTCCAAATATTAAAATAACAGAATTTATTGATGAAAATTTAACTAAAGATTAAAATCTCCTACGTTTGATAAGACTAGAGTATAGGAGTGATATTTCCAATTAAGGAGTTGCCAAAATTTGAATAAAAGTTATTTAATAATTAGAGAGGTTTCTGTTCTAAATTCTACAGCACAACTTTTAATAAAGAAGCAGTAGATAATTAGTTTCATAATCTCTCTACCTCTTTTTGATTTAACCTTGTAAAAATAATATATCAATAATAAGGGATTTAAGCTTTTCATTTCAAGCCATACTACTTAATAAAGAAGTCTTACTTTGTAATTCCAGATATTCTATTATTCTCTTCAAGCTCAATCACATTAATTTTTCCACTATAAGGTTAATATTTTTAATACGTCTTTTGGATGGTTTCCATTGGATCGAAAATAGATGGTTCATCACTTTGCTCCTCAAAATATAATTCAATTTCTAAATATTTGAGATTAAAATTGTACCTTCGTGATCTACTTTTCCACTCTTTAGAGGTTTATTAAGTTTAACTTCCACAATCTCTGGTTCAGCCTTGTGTTCATCTCCTTCTCCTTCCCCTACTCCCTCACCATCTTTATTGGAGGAAGTTGATGAATTTTGTTCTGAGCCATTAGATACTTCTTCAAGTCCGACTGATTCCTCAGACCTCTTTGATTCCTCCTCAGATCCTTGGGAACCAGAGTCAGATTCTTCAGACTCTAGTTGATTTCTTCCATCACCACTATAACTTTGCTCACTCTCATCGGATTCAAAGCTTTCACCTCCTTCAAAAGTATGATCTGAGCCTCCATTGTTGGTATCAAACCGAACAGCTTTACGAGGTTTATGCAGGCCAGGGCTTCTATCAGAACTATTTCCTGAACTTCAGCCTTCTTGAGAAGATCTTGGTTGTTCTTTTTGAAGAGCAACATTACTCATACGGTCTGACTCCATTTTGAAGAACTTGCTTTCCCTAGTCATTGCTTTGTGAGGAACAATCACAGACCCTGCTGAGTCGCTTCTCCTTTCAATAAGTCCAGGATTTCTGATAGATTTTGTATAATCAAAGTGCCCATATGGATCTCCTACAGATTACTAAAGAATGACTTACGATGGCTGGGAATCCCTTGATCGCTATATGCTCTCCTTATTTTTCTCCTAACTGGCGGCTTTCCTTCTGCCATCAGTTCAAAATCATGACGTATTTCCTCAAGTTCTATGTTATTTTAACAGAATCCTCTTGAAGAAATCTAATAATCTAAAGAGAGTCTTCATCTCAAGAATGCTCGCCAATATTTATCCTCAGATAAAAATGTATCCCTATGCATGCTAAACTAACTATGCCCACATTGGGTGGAAAATGAAGTCCAAAGGTTTTGGTTTCCACTAAGTTTTTTATAAATTCATCAAAACTAAGATTGAATTTCGAAGGATTCATCCTTCCTTCATCCCTCTATTATTTCGGGCTAACTAGTTATTACCTTTAACTCCATGGATGTTATTACGGCGCGGATTAAACCGATATTCCTGGATCACTGAGACAAAACTTTTTGCAATATTAGATTCTTTGAGCTCTTTCCCTTCTTCGTATTTGTTCTGACAGAAGCATGAAAGTTTACAGCTAGAAAGGGTGACTAATAAAATACCTTTAGATTTCAGTTCTGAGCTTTCGTCTCGCTTCTTAGCACTCTCTTTTGTTGGATTGAAGTGGTATCATCTGCATTTGTTCAAACTCGGGAGAAATTCAGGATTTTTCTCGATGCCTTTGAGTTTTAGCTATGATAGTTAGATATAATATTTACTTTTCGTGATAGATCATTAAGTTTGCCACATTCTCATATATATTTCCCTTCCTTAGCTTCGAGTTTTAAAAGAGAGAGCTCCTGACATTTTAAGCCACAAAGTAATCAAAGACTTATTGGAGTGCTGCCTACAAACTCTCTGTAGTAAAAGAATGGAAGACTGACTTGTTTATAGCCAGAGGAAAGGAAGGAACAGTACAAATCACTTATTTTGTTTTATCTGATAATCGTGATGATATCGTCTTGAATTTCTCTTATTTCTTCATCTGGTTTATATTCATTATACAATTCAAGCAGTCCAATATGAGAAGGGGTTTTGGGGTTTTGGGGTTTTGGGG